CCAGCTTTTGTCTTGTAAGGCTAGCATTCACGAAGGGGAAAAAAAAAAAGAAACGCTAATGATGGTCCAAATAGGACCAAGCTAATCATTAAGAAAATTTCTCTGTTGTAATTCATAATATAATCAAATCGCCTTATATGTAGTCTGTTGTTATTTGGTACATATGAAATGCCAATTAGCATAATTTTTTTCAATTTTCTTATATATTAAATTTTGAATTATTGAGAATTTTAGTCATTTTAACCTTAGTTGCTTGAGTTTTGTAATTTTTTTCATCAATATTTAATATCGATTTTTCTCATCAAAGAAAAAATGATGAGAGGTACTATATGGAGGTTGGGAGGACTATGGAAACTTGCCCATCATGTTGTGGTTAATAAATCTTCACTATATATGTGTCATAATAAAAATTGTTCGTTTTCATGAGGATCTTAATTGTTGCTACAATTATCGATTTGTTCAATGCATATGGATTGCTAAACGATATCTAATTTCATTGAGTTTTTTGCAAAGACGATACTGCCTAACATTCATTATTTCTCTTTCTAATATAAAATCTAAATACTAGACTCTAGGCACTTAGAAATTTTTAAACTCTTACTATAAAATTATCTCACTAAAAAAGCATATTAAATTTTGTGATTATTATATTCTCATGTGCCTCATTATATTTAGAGTCACATTCATGATTCACTCCCATTCCCAAAGCACAAGAAGCTCATCCCCAAATGAATTGAATTGAGTGAAAGATCCATCACCAATTATCCATCTTTTATTTATTTTCGTTTTCATTTCTTTAAGAACCTGACCACAAAAAATAAAATAAAAAATAAAAACTTTAAATCTTTGACTAGAATGAGCTCTATCCATGTGAAAAGGAATAGCGGACCGGCCGTATAATTTTATTAATGAATTAAGCGCGTGGAGAAACTTTATGGTCTGTGTATTTGGACCGTAGTACAATACTTTGTGAGAAAAGTGACCGATAACGAAACTTACTCACATGGTCACATGAAAAGCGTGTTTTTTTTTTGTGCAAATACTGCCGACCAAAATGGCTGCAAGTGAACCCAAAGCTATACGTGTATAGCGTTTGGCTAAAATTCAATTTCAGTCTTCGTTTTTTTATTTTTTATTTTAACAGAGTAGAATCATTAATATGAAAAACAATTACAAGATTATACAAAAAGAACACTGTTTAAGAAGAGAGTTCTTGTAAACAAGAAAGCAAAACACATCCTTGACCAAAAAAATAAAATAAAAAAGAAAGCAAAACACATAAACAATAAAATACAACCGGTACGGGAACAATTTGAGTCTTTCATTTGGTGGTCACATTTTTTTCCCCCAATTCACTCAAAATCAAAGTTTTCGTGGAAAATTCAGCCCGCTATTGGCAATGAGAATCGAAAGCCAATACCAAGTTGTATTGGTGATTTTTCTGGCTAAATTCCAATTGGTTTGGGTTTTTGGATAGATATTATTTCGGGTGCTCAAATTGATAACCCACTACGAAATGAATGCCTTTTCTTCTGAAATGAAAATGAAAGTAATTGATTTTGAATGTAATATCAAACTAACCCAAGTTTAATTGGTCAGCTTTTGGACCATAAACACACTTTATGAAGTGGGGTAGGGTCACGAATTAATCCAAATAATTGACTTTTTTTCCCCTTAATTTGTATTCGATTTTGCATAAGACAAGTAATTGCCTTTTTTGGTCTATAGCGTATATAATTTCGTGTTGTACCCTCTATTAAGGCAAAAGCCAAAGGACCCAATAGCCAAAATTATTTACTAACATGTTTTTCTTTTTCTAATTACGATATAGGTTTTCTATTATTTTTTATTTTTAACAAACGATATTTTACTTTAATCTAATCTAATACATGAGAAGAGGAATTCAAACTCAAATTTAGAGTGGAAAATACATCTGCTCTAGGCTAGATTACGATACTTGTTTTAATTATCTACTAAAAGTAATAAAAGAACTTCCATGTGGACGGGCACAATGTATCTACTTGGCATTGAAATTCTTCGAGACAACGTACTCCTTCCGCAACAAATTTTTCTCCACTAACTTCGCTTATGTCATAGTTAGAAGTACTAAACCACAAGCTTATTGGTTGGGTTCAAATCCGCAAAGGATCTTGAATTGTATCCCACTTTGTCCTAATCACCCTCCCATGGTTCCCACCAATAATTCCTCTACAGAAAAGTTTTCTTCTCGGCAGTTGCTCTCTCCAATGACTAACTGCCGACACAAGTATTTTTTATTTACATTTGATATTATTTAAGCATACTTAATTTAGTGCGTTGATCATTTCTACTTATCCAAATTTTGGCTTACTATGTATCATTTTTGTATTATTTGTAGAATAACATATAAATTAACACCAAAACTCTCTCTTGGCTTCATCTAATTTTTTTTTATTGTTTTCAGTTTTCTTTGTACAATTGTCATGATTTGGAGGTCTCATCTAACATATATATATGTTCTTTTATGCCTAATCATTGAATCCAGAATTGGGTGCAACTCTCCTAGGTTGTTAACTTGTTAGGCACAAGGCCAATTACCAAATACTCGTTATTCTGAAAGGGTAGGTGGTATGATATTTAAAATAATAATAATAATAAATTAACAAAGTAGACATGTACTCGTGGTTTAAGAAGAACTGTATCTTGCCCATGACATAATTTTGTTGTTACTATTCACATGAGATATGAGAATTTGATATTTAAATTGGTTGCTGATGTTAGCTTGCTCAAGCAAGTCTTGCCTTTGGGCTCACCCGAGCTTAGTGGAGCCCACCACCTCTTGCCATGGCTGGATTTCATTGTTGGAACGGGTTTTGGTAGCCTAGAGGGCTTTTTGTCTGGACTAGGCTTGTTTTTTTGGATAGGATAGGCTAGAAGTGCTCTTATGTCAAGTTTTCGTATATTTTATAAGTAAAGGGTCACTTCATGTTTATTTTGACAAAATTGGTTGATTGTGGTTTGATTTGTTGCTTACATTAACTTATTAAGACTAGTACATTGAGTGATTAGGATTCGAATACGGGGAATATTGGTCAGTGGCCGGAAAACAGTAACTATTTTTGGAGTGAAGCTTATGGTCATACCGTTTGAAGGTGTAAAGGGCACTCAATTAACTTTTTTACCCTATAATTTGACTAAAGTAATGGAAAATGACCAAAATGCCACGTTTGACAGAGTATACGGACTAGATAATTTAAAAACCAAATTCATAGACTAAAATGCAAGTCGAGGCATAAAATCATTGCTATAATTAACTGGTCATAAACACTTCAAATGTTGAATTTGACCTAACAAGTAAAGTGTGCATGCACCTTGCAATATCATTCACATGACAAAGCGGAACGCCATGATTGATACACTGTTATGGAAAAAAGAAACTTTTTGTCACTTATAGATGACAAAATTTCCAATTTGCCATCAATCTTAATCACCCGTAAGACTAATTAATTATTTGAGTCGACGAAAATCATTTGTTAATTAATCTTGTTTTCGGTTAATCACTCCTAGCCAGGACCCAGCAATTTTGTCTTCGGCATCATTGAAATTTGAATCCATTGAATTTGGAGTAGCAGCGGAGTCAAGGCATTGGGTGATAGGAGAGACAAGCCCTTTTGCCAAAGGGCCCAACCCATCACTCACTGCATGCCAGATTAGGGAACTTGGGCTATAATTTTTAGTGTTTGCCTTTGATTTCTTTTGAGGGGAATAGAACTCGAGTACAACCGTTGCATTCAATCAAATGTCCCATAATCTCACAATAACTGTTCAACATGAATAAATTAATCGATTGTAAGCAACGGTTATGAATTAATATTAGTAAATAAATGGTGATTGAATGACCCATATCAAAATTCAACGTATCTTTATTGTAAATGCGATAATATTTTAAACTACAGTAGAGATATGTTGAATTTTGATATAGTTCATTCAATTATGTCATTCAATGTATCTCAATTGTACTTTTCTTGAGTAGGGGATTGAAAACTATTATGGAACATGTCGAATCATGTTTTCATTAGACGATAATAATAGCTTCGATTTTGTTCTTGAAGTCTTTACACACCTGCGGGGCCAGTTAATCATACCCAAACCAAGAGTTTCATCTTGATTTACGTCAAAAAAAACACTTCGGTTGAAAACTTAAATCAAACCCCTTGGGTCCCAAAAGGCTATGTCAATGTGTAGAATGATTGTGCTGTTTTATCAGCTCAATGATCATAAGCTATACTTCAAATTTCAATGTTATGTCTTCAGTATTTCATGTCTTTTTAGACAGTTGGTAAGCATTTGCGTACATGTCATTGTCCATCAAATTATTCAACTTTGATCGGCTCTTTTTTCTGTTTGAATAAAAACCATATTCCCTAACACAGTTTTCTTCCACATTCATATTTCTAGAAATGCATTTCTAGCCAAGTATTCTTGCAAGTTGCATATGGTGTTATATGTCAGCTCATTATAAATTTAAGGGGTCCCGATCGTTTATACGATGCATTCATATTCATGTATTATTAAGCAATGACGAGAGTGAATATCAAACTAATTACGACTCACTTGTCAACGAGACAATAAGTGATACATCAGTTAGTTTTCAAACGCTGGATTCAATTATAGTTTCATTCCATTATGTTATGATTTAAAAAAGAACTGCTTATGCTTAAAATATAAAAGATGATAAATGAGCTTTTTTTATATTATAAATATTTTTATTTAAACAATGACGATATTCTAAACTATTCTAATGTACGAGGAGGGAGTTAAAACGCAGGTGCAAGGGGCGGACACCATCGATCAACTGGGCTAATCCACATATGCGATAAATTAGTTAATTTTAATATAAAAAAACTTAATTATTTAAATGAATTATAAATAAAAAAACAACAAAACAAGTGCCTATTTTCTAGGCCCAGTTTGATGTCTAGCTTTTTTGGGCTCAATAGCATTTCTCGTAGTCGATCCAAGAGAATCTAGGTCTTATCAAAAGTTGGTATGTTGGAAGAAGTGCAAACAAGTGTGATGCTCTCATTTCGCACGTGATAAGATTATTCTAGGTGGGGCCCAGTGTCAATCAGCCAATGATGGTGTGCTACGTCTGGTACCGAGCCCAGACCAGAGCGACGTCGTCAGATGGTTAGGTTTCCGTTAAGTAACAAAGGACGCACGGGAAGAAAGATACTCTGCTGCTCTGCTCTCCTGCGCGGAATTTGCTGTACTTTGGTGCTGCCAATCTTACATCCCTATCTGCAACTGATGAAACCTTTCCAATTACCTATTTTTGTAAATTCAGTTATTTCTATGATCGAGTGTTTCAGATACCAACATATCCACACTTGATCATCTTTCTTTGTCCAAAAAACCTAAATGAAACCCGAATCTTGTTTCTTCTTTACTCTAAATGCAATTCAACCTTTTGTTTTAGTAAAATCACAATACACTTTATTCATTTAAACTTTCGTGTCACACATGAATCAACAACAATAATAAGAGAAAGTCAGTTTGACTCTCTCACTATATCAAATTATTATATGAATAAAATGTAAAGCAAAAGTTTGAAATTCATCATTTTAACAAATAACGTGAAGGAAAACTAAGCCCATAACTTTCATCCAAAGAACAAGAAGACAAAGAGAGGAATTAGTACCACAGACGGGCTACTAAGGCAGAGAGAAGCCCTTGAAGAATTGGCCTGATGGTTGATCGTCGAACGCGATTAAGCTCAGAATGACCCAAGTTTCCCATTTAGTGAATAGAAAGAAGAGAACCTTTTTACCTAACCACCGGTTCGGGGCCTCTTAGGGTATGGAGCCACCAACGCATCAATATAGCTATCGAGTGGAAAAGGCCCATCCTATCTTTATTTGGTTTCCTATACATTTTTTTTAATGATGAAAAATACTATTTAACCTAATTAGATTATGTCTTCCCTAATTGGATAAAACCTTTTTTTTTTTTTTTGGTAAATACCACGAGGTGTCCCCACACTTGAAGGGTGAGATTAATCCTCGCTCAGAATTTGGCTTGTACCTAGTCACAAAGTGCTTCAAACGGGTTTTGAACCCTTGCTATTGAGGCACTAGGTAGCTCACCAACTGGAGGTGACAATTTGCCAACCGCACCACACCTTGTGGTTGATAAAACCATTCTTTTAAAAAGGACAAACGCATCTATTTTTGGTGGTCCATGCACCACCCGAACCCCGCTCACCTACCACGTGGAAACCTATCACAGCGACTACAACTTCCTCATTTCACTACCCAACACTCTGCTCCTCTATCTCTCTCTAACTGTAGATATAAATTTGAGCTAATAAACAAACGCCGTCACATAACCTTCGTAGTATAGCAAAGCCCTTCACTTTCAGCTCCCGAAAGCCGTCACGAGTCACGACCCACTCTCGGAGAAAGACAACACTCCCCACACACAACAATGAAGCAGGGGCTCCCTTTCCCATAAAACGACCACGAAGAGCTTCAAAAACCGTACCGATCGATTGGCGCCGGGAAAATAGCTCAGATCAACGTCTCCGACGATCTAGGGTTCCTGCGGGACGGTAGCGTCGTTCGTCGATTGCTCTTTGTTGAAATGGCTTCGGAGGATGTGAAACCGAGCGAATCGGCGGTCTCCACGATCGTCAATCTGGCTGAGGAGGCTAAGATGGCGAGAGAGGGCGTGGTCAAGGCTCCGAGCCTTGCGGTTCTCAGTGTCTGCAAGTCTCTGGTTGCTGGCGGAGTCGCTGGTGGAGTGTGAGTTCTCGATTTCTTGAGTTTTCGTGTGTTTGTTTCCCTGGAATGAAGTTCCTCGGAGAAAAAAATTTCCCGCAAAAATTGGATTTTGTTTTTTAAAAACTCGTTTGATTAGAAATCAATGTGATTTTGTGAAGCCAAGGTATAATGACTGTATAAATTTGATCGTTTTGTGAGGTTAGGCACGAAAAAATTGAATCTTTTTCTGTGACGGCTTAGAATACTGAAATTGGAAAAAGTAGGCGAAGAAACGGATTCAGTACTATTTAATTGGTTAATGAAAATGAAGAAGGAGAAGCAATTGGAATATTAATTCTCGTCAATCGATTAAATTATTTTGAGCGTCTGCAATGTGTAGTATATAATTGGTCATGGTTTGATTTAAAGTCTTGTGTGAATTTCTAATTCTCATGCGGGTATCTGAAATTTGAAATTTATGCAGGCAATGGCATTAGGTCCATTAGATTCTAGTAATGTGAAAGAAATTGTTGTCTTGTCATTGCTTATTGATTTTTGCAGTATCATATTGTGCATTGTTTATTTCTATCTCCATGCTTTTTACATGTTGACCTTTTTCCAGTAACGAAATATTTTAATATCCATACAGGTCTCGCACAGCTGTTGCTCCATTGGAACGACTGAAAATATTGCTCCAGGTACATTTTTTCAATTAATTGTGCACAATGTCTTTCATTTGTTTCTATGTGCACTCAACGTACACAAACTAACACATAAAAATATATCACATTCATGACTGGTTACAATGTCTGCAGGTCCAGAATCCACATAACATAAAATACAACGGAACAATACAAGGCTTGAAATATATCTGGAGAACTGAGGGTTTCCGTGGATTGTTTAAAGGAAATGGTACGAATTGTGCTCGTATTGTCCCCAACTCAGCAGTCAAGTTCTTCAGCTATGAGCAAGCTTCTAAGTATGTTACTAACAAGATTTAATGTTAATTTATTTTTTTGATTTTGCTTCCAGTATGTTATAAATTCGTCTTTGATTTTTGTTCCATTCATACCATCAATCTTGTATTGTTTGTATGATTGTATATTCTTTTGCAACTTGTGAATGCATCGTATTGTAATGTAACTTCATATTACATTCTCCTACTTTCCCTTCCGCTGAATGCTCCTTGTTATCTGCATGACAGGGGAATATTGTTACTGTATCGGGATCAAACTGGCAATGGTATGTCCATACGTACCATCATTTTTTTGCCTTTAGTTGTAATAATTTGACAAGACTCTTTGGAGACCTTACATTCCATCTCAACATTTCATTAACTTTCTGCATTGGGCCAGTTCACATTTTGACTCAGGTTGGGTTGCTGTTTAATGATGTTGTGCCTCGTAAAATGTCTAACAGAGGCCATGTAACATCCACATAATCACATTATAAACCATCAAAAGAAACTATGTGACTAGTATGATGTCATTGTTGGGAAAATAACATGATCTTTATCACTCCTTGGAAATCAAACATCGACAGGTTGGTAGAAGTCAATGGATAACGTAGATTATCTAAATCTCCTTTTCTTTTCATACCTGCAGAAGATGCTCAGCTCACTCCTCTTCTACGTCTTGGAGCTGGAGCATGTGCTGGAATTATTGCCATGTCTGCAACTTACCCGATGGACATGGTACGAGGAAGGCTAACTGTACAGGTAATTATTTCAGTCCCTGTTCTCCTTTTGTTTCATAGGATAACTGTTTTAAAGACCCTTATATTTCCCCCTGCCATTTCAGTCTTCAATCTCAATGCTTGAAACTGAAAGAGAATGATTACTTTCTATATATGTGCACTGGAAGGATTTATGTTTTGTTGGTCTTAAATTTGCAGACAGAGAACTCTCCCTTTCAGTACAGAGGAATGTTCCATGCTCTATCGACTGTGCTCCGCGAGGAGGGCCCACGGGCTTTGTACAAGGGATGGCTTCCTTCTGTAATTGGAGTTGTAAGTTTTCGTTATCTAAAAACTCTGCTTTCACTTATTCATTATTGCCACCCTTTTGATATATGAGCTCCAAAGTATAAAGAAACAAAGTCTGTTGATTGAGTAGCTCATATGTTTTATTAAACAACTTGTTGCTCTTGCTTTTTGCTGTTCCTGTGCAGTTGGATTGGAAGTTTCTTCATATGGACAATTAATGTCACCTGTTTGTATATTATACTTCTTTTACCTATTTATGTTTAGGCATACCACAGTAGAAATATGTGGACCTTATATTGTTGATTTTTGTTTGCAGGTTCCCTATGTTGGTCTCAACTTTGCTGTGTATGAATCCCTGAAGGATTGGTTAATCAAAAGTAGACCATTTGGACTTGTTGAAGATACAGACTTAAGTGTCACAACAAGGTTGGCATGCGGGGCTGCTGCTGGAACTGTGGGGCAAACTGTTGCTTACCCCCTTGATGTCATTCGTCGAAGGATGCAGATGGGGGGATGGAGCAATGCTGCTTCTGTTATCACTGGTGATGGGAGAAGCAAGGCCCCACTTGAATATACTGGCATGATTGATGCATTCAGGAAAACTGTTCGACATGAGGGCTTCGGAGCGTTGTACAAGGGTTTGGTTCCCAATTCCGTTAAGGTCAGTCCTAATCGTCTGTTTGTTTTTTAATTTGCTTGTAGACAATTGCAGGCTGGGTAGTTATTAGTTTGTGAAAACAATTTTGTCAGGCTGGGCAAAGGGCTTAAATGAGATGAATCTTACACATGGAATTGCCATAATATCTTAGGGTGACAGGTTGCATGGTTGTGGCAAATTCGTCCATCATTAAAAAGTCTCACTAGGATTAACAAAAGAGAGGTCTAGGACTTTGGCCCACAAAGTCCTTTGTTTTAATTCTTATGTGGCTTACAAGCTATGAATCATGCATGACTTGTGGTGTATGGGTACTGGATATCAAGAGGGTTTTGAATCCTTAGTATTAACTATGAACGCTAATTTTTTTTTTTGGTAATATAGGGGCCAAAGCCCAAACCAAAGCTATAAACACTGATTTTAAACTGTTATAGAAGAGTATATGAAAGCTAGGATCCAATACTTTGTTTTATCATCTATGTTCGCTTAACATCAGTGGTTGGTTCCTGTATTGTACTGTTCTTTTGAACTTGGCCCCTAGGAAACTTTGAAACTCCTTTATTAATCAACTTGTGATGGAACTATTGCACATAGTTTTTTTTTTTTTTTTTTTTTGTAAAAAAAAATGTAGGGGCTGCATTCAACTTGTACTGCCTCCAGTTTTCTTCCCTTGGTGTATGCTTCGATGTGTGCATGGAATTTTTCAGTTTTTCAGTTTTAGTAATGAGTTCTAATCAGTTTTTGCAAACTTGTCTTTGCGAACGGTATAATTTCATTTGCATCAATTTTTCAGGTAGTGCCATCCATTGCAATTGCATTTGTGACGTATGAGATGGTGAAGGACGTTTTAGGAGTCGAGATCAGGATATCGGACTGAAATTGCAGGAGCTCCATGATATTTATATTTGCGTGTGCTATTTTTGTAGGCCGGGAAATAGAGGTCTGATAAACTAGGGGTAATTTCTTCCTTTTCTCTCTGAAGCTAGAAGCGAGTCTGAGCCTGTGTTCATAAATTGCTTTCCCCCCTGTTTTCCTTTTTGTATTTCCTTATGAACACGATGTAGCTTTGAAGCTTCTCATTCATATGATGTGCCAATAAGTGTTTCGACAATGTAAAACATGCTTTTGCATGCCTTCTTCCATAAGCGTTGACAAAGCATTTTCTACACTTCCTGGATCAAACTTGTTGGGTGCGTTTGCTTATTTTGCCTCTTTCAAACACACAAACTTCTTTGATTTGATATCATGCACTCTAAATATATTTCTTGCAGAAAAAAGAAGAAAAAAACATGCATTATATATCAATAATCTAATATAATGTGTTTGTCAATCATTTTCGTTACAGAATGATGCATGATAAATAGGACAAATATGATTATAATATTATTTGAAAGAATTCCAAGCATGCTCCTTTCCTTTGTTTGCTTTCTTTTTGACTAATTGTGGGGGATAAGTGTAGAGGAAAATTGGATTAAACATAGTTATGAGAAATTGGAAACTTTTGTATGACATCTTTTGCCATCTCTTTCCCTGCTGAGCTGTTTCCTCCATCGACATAATTCTTTATACTCGCCGGCCATGCCTGGACATACATAGGAGAAGCAATATTTTATCAAACTTCTGAGGATAAAAAATAATAGAATTTCCTAAAGCCATATAATTTATGTTAGGAGACTACTAACCTAGAATCCCTTATTCTTGTTTGAAACCTTTGAGTTCGTCGCCGGACCGGCTTGACCTCGTCTATCTCCTGTCTTTTCTTTTGTAATCTCTTGATAGCTTTAGCTCCATCTTTTCTTCTTTCTGGTTCTCTCTCCACAGAGTTTAAGCTTTCTTCGGTTGATAAAGAAAACAATGAGAGAAACACAATAAGGAGGTCCAACTCAGCTGTAAACACAGAGTTTGGCAATTCTTGCGATGCTAGCAATTCTAGCGATTCTTCATTCTGCTCCATTTCTCTGTCTTCCTGCACCTCATCAACCTTGTTGTCTAGAACTCTAGCAGGCTCTGCCATTTTACTAATCCAAACCTTCAACAACAAAATGGAAGAAATAAAAAATCATCTCTCAGAAGAAAAAACAATTAAAACAAATGTAAATTTCGGGCACAAAACAAGAACGAAAGCGATCGCGGCTTACCAGATAATAACAGCGAGACTTGTGGTTGACGAAGGCCAGGATCAAAGAGTAATTTTTTGTTCTTCATAAAAGTTAAGAGGTCTCAGGTGCTTTGATAATTGTTATAGTGATGTTGTTTGTTCATAATGAATGAGTAAGTTGACTTCTTGTATTGATTCATGAAAATCAGTCACGTAATTAGATTGTAAAATTAAGGCTTACCGCCAATCTAGGCTTGCATTATGTTTACAGAGTCGGAGACAGAAAACTTTCATTGGAAGGACAAATAAATTTTACTAAAATTGTATAAACTATATTTATTTTTACCATGTAAACTATAAACCATAGCAATCACCCAATTGTAGAATTATTTCGTAAAAACAAAGAATTATCGTGTAACAGTAACACCATGTAACATAAATCGAGTTCACTCAATTAAAAACACGTATCAAAGCTTAATTTAACAACAAAAGTTAATAATATATATATATATATATATCCGTAAAGAGTTGTGCTACAGTCAGTTGCATATCCGTAATTTTAAAATAGGAGGGCAATCCGTACCCTCAAGAAAAATGGTTGTTGATTGAAGGTTGGCAGGTGGCATGAAAATTGACCTGCGAAAGATCTAGTACAAATTGGGATAGTGCTCACATCAACATCGACGTGCGACCAGCCTCATTATGAGCCACTCATTCATTGGCTACGTGGTTCGCTTAAACCCCTCCAATTAAATCATTCCCAAACACGTGCCATGCTCCGTACCGCCACCACAGTTGCATTGAATTACATCAAATGCCCCTGAAGACAGTGAGAATAACTACGAAATTGGATTTTTTTTCCTTCTTCTTCTTTATGTGATGGGGACTGTGATTGAATCTGGTTCACTAATTTCATCGCAACCGATCCCACACCACATATTTTGCGGTTACCGAAGTTTGGCAGACTGAGTCGGTGACTGCATTTACAACTGGCTGAGCCACAGAGCCGATTATCTTTGGACATGATAAGCCCGCTCCGATTTAGATTGATGTTATCCTATAATCATGCGTTGGCGAACTTCGACAAAGGAATCAAATAATTGAAATTGGATCAACTACTCATTCTTAATTTTGAAAGTATTTAATTTCAAATTTTAACTCGAAACAAATATAATTTTGAATTCTTTATGTGTAAGTAAATAAACATGCTAATTATATGGTTTAGTTCGGTTAAGATATTTTTCGAATGCTAAACTGAATATGGGCCTAATTACGATATTTTTTAGTGTAAAAAGTTCAATCAAACAATGAGATTGATTTTATTTGACCAGTTTGTATGGTTTGGATTCATTTTATGAACAGATGTTACAGAATGTGCGCAATCACAACCAGAGCTCAATTCTTATCTCATGTTCTTGGACCTCACTTAGCAAAAACCAAAAACTAAAAATCAATCTTACATTATCATCCACTAATTAAATCCATGAGCACAAAAAATCTAAACATGGCAGAATCAGTAATAAAGAAAAAATATATGCCCATTTTTGTGTAAACAACTCCACCGAAAGCAACCAACTACACTAATCAATCAGTCTCGTTCACAAATTCTCTGAGAGAGAAAAAATATCGTGGCTGCTTCTCTTTGCCGGACTTGCAAAAACCTCTGAATTTTGAAAACAAGCACCAGCAAATGCAAAATATACAAACAGAGTATAAACCACAATTGTTATTATAATCATATATAGAAAGGATACCAGTCAACTTGAGAAAATTTAATCATGTTCATATCACCACGTAAAAAGTTTTAGACACTGTTGGAGATAGATATATATATATATTAATATTCCACTTTTGGTAGTTTTTAGGAAGAAGAAGCTTTCTATTTCAGCCAAGTTTTTTGGTGGCTCTCTGTTCCGAGCTTGCAGGGGATTTGGTGGGCTTGCTTGCTATTGTTACTCTGCCTGGTGCTTTGATTCAATGGTAAATGCTTTTTCTTTTGGGTTTGAAATTTGATTCAGATTAATGGGTTTTTGTTTTTCTGTAAGTTGTGTTCTTGTTTAGTTGGTGGTGATATAAGAACTTGTTGCTCTCCGGTGATGATTGGATTCTGTAGATTGTTAAGAATGATGCATTTGTGTTGTACTGTTGCAAGAAAATGATGATGTTGGATAACTAGTTTCTTTCTTTTTCTTTTGTCTGTGCTTGTTTACTTTCACCTTTTTTTTTTTTTTTTTTTTCTGTTGGATTACATTCTACATTTGAGTGGATGGGGTTTCCTAGATGGTAATCTTTGTTTCTCTAGACTTTGTTGTTCCATTTATTTTTCCGAATTTACGTAAATGGAAATGTGGTTTATGTTCTGTTGATGTAAAAGATGAGTCCTTGAAACCAGAAGTTGGTGTTGCTTGATGCTGATTTTGATACTTTTAGATTTAATTAATTTTCCTACTCATTGATTATGAATTCTTGAGTTTGTGAGATATTGATTATGAATTCATCTATCTTCCTTATTAGCGATTCTTTTTCATTTTGACATGAGCAGGTCACTTCACCAGAAGTTATATATATCCATTGAGTGAAGTGCAAATGGATGGTTTTGAGAGTTTGGTAGATAAAATGGCTGCAAAGGGTGTGGTGAGGAATGAAAAACTTAAGCAACTGGAGGGTCCAAATTTATTGGAGTCACCAGTGTGCACATTGGGAATGGGAAGGAGCAATTGGCCCGAGAGCTCGCCTAGCAATTGCAGTGTTACAATGGAGGGAAAGGATTTGAGTCGATGCGTAACTTCCTCATCTGTATTTGAGCCGCCCTGTAAGAGCTCTGGTTCCATAAATGGCACGGGGCTTGTGGTTGAGGATATGACGTTGAAACATCATAGGAAACCAAATTCAGCTTTACTTAGTCCTAGTCAGGAATGTTGGCAAGATCCCGATCCGGCAGCAAGTGGATTTAGAAGTAAGAATTTTCATGGTGATACTATGTCACAGGACAACGATCAGACACAGTTGAGAGTAAGAGGTCAGCTTTTAGAAATGCCTTCTCGCATACGAAGTCTGAAGCCTTTGTTAAGCAATCACTCAGAGCAGGAACCAGACAAACTGTCTGCATATTTAGGGGTTGAGGACAGCAAGATCATGTCAAACAATATGCTAAGTATCGCCAAAAAGCAACTGAAGACCCAATCTACTAATAGCCATTCTCAATTACTTGTAAAGGAAACCTTGAAGGGAAAGAGTGTCAGTAAATTTCAAGAACCTTGCAGTGGCTTTGGTAGTTCAGCTACGGACCAGAAGGAAAAAAACCTGGGTTATGGTTCTGAGGTAGCTTGTGATGCACAGTTGAAATCAATTGTTAACAGTGATCAGATTTCTTCACATGTGCTTGATAGGTCTGGCCCAAAATCTACCAGTAATGGGATTTGCTTGAGGGAGTGGCTTAAACCTGGGGGTCACAAAGTAGATATAGTTGAAAGCCTGCTCATATTTAGACAGATTGTGGAGTTAGTGGATTTTGCACACTCTCAAGGTGTCGTCTTGCAAGACTTACGACCATCGCGCTTCATTTTATTTCCATCGAATAAGGTTAAATACACAGGTTCATCAGCCATCCGAGAATCAAATAGTCTTATGAACCGAGATTTGATTATCAAAAGGCCATCAGAGCAGGATGCATGTGCTGAACGTATTTTACGTGGAAAACAGCTAAAACTGAGTGAGGGTAATGAGGAAAAGTTTTGCATAGCTGGTCCACAAAATTCTGGCTATGGTGAACTCCAGTTTCAAATGAATTCGAGCTACCAAAAAGCATTGGTTGCCGTACAGCAAAGATCCATTTCAGTAATTGTTCAGTTAGAAGAGAAGTGGTATACCAGTCCAGAGGAGCTCAATGAGAGAGCTTCCACACTTTCATCAAATGTCTATTGCCTTGGGGTTCTTCTTTTCGAGGTGAGAAGTTATTTTGAAGTGTTTCCACAAGTTCTTATTATTTGAAAGTTAACTTAAACAACTTGTACTTCTTGGCAGATGATTTTATTATATAATTTGGTTTGAACTAACATAACTTAAGACTTGTTGTTCGCTTGTTATGACACTGTAAGTTAATTTTGAAGTGATGAATAGGTAAAATTCCTTGTACTAAGTTCTGCTATCAAATTAATGTAAGAAATAGTTTGCTCCCAAAACTGGAAAAGTAACAGGGACTCAGTAGTGCCACTGAATGGCTCTTTATCCTTGTAATCAATCTTCGTTTGTCTTTCTTTTATTTTATTTTTTGAGTTCTAAAGTTCTATCCTTGGGGTTGGAGTAGAAAATCTGTACATTTGACTTGTTTAGCTCTTTTATGTCAGTTGCTGTGCCGTTGTGAATCATGGGAGGTACATTGCGCGGTGATGTTGGATTTGCACCATCGAATTCTGCCACCAGAGTTTCTTTCACAAAATCCGCTGGAAGCTGGCTTTTGTTTTTGGCTTCTCCATCCTGAACCTTTGGCTCGTCCAACAACAAGGTACCACCATCTGCATTTCTTTAATTTACTGCCTACTATATTTATTAACCTTTTCAGGAGTACGAAAAATCAAGACAATGGTACAATATGATCTATATTGTAATGCTACCAATTATGAGTTCCTACACTACCATCCTTTACTTGGTTAACCTATCCAAATCCAACTTAAAGCCTTAAACTGCTCACTTTTCAGCATTGTTGTCAGTAAACTCAATTATCTATGTTGCACTGACAATTGTCAGCCTGCAAGCTTGTTGTTCCATTACCATGTAAATGTGCACAATCAATAGCTCTAGTGCATGTTGATGTGAAGGTATATCCTTTATTTGTTATCCAATGAAGTATGTCTAAACTGGCCACATTTTGAAGTTTTTATTTTCTGGTGTGCAACAGAGAAATCCTGCAGTCTAAACTGATAGGTGGATACCAAGAATCGGCTTGCTGTGATGATTTTCCAAATTCTGCTGATAATGTTGATGCTGAATCAGAGCTATTAATTAGTTTTCTTATCCCATTAAAAGACAAGAAGCAAGGGTATGCCTCTAAGTTGGTGGAAGTTATAAGATGCCTAGACGAAGATATAAACAAGTTCAGGAGGAGGCATTTATCAGGGGAATTTCCTAGTGAAAGAGAACAGGAGTTCTGTCTTGAAGACCCTGTAAGTTCAGGTGTTTCTTCTCGATTAATTGCAGCATCAAACATGAATGAGACGCTCTTGATGACGAATATCAGTCAACTAGAGGATGCTTACGCCTCCACAAGATCCCAAATGGGGAAAACAGCAACTGCTCCTGTAGCATGCTCTGATAAGGAGGTGTTAAACAATCGATACAGGTGGTGTCATGCGCGAAATTATACTCTGGATTCGAGCCTCAATCAGAAATCAGGTGATCGGCTTGGAGCCTTTTTTGATGGTGTTAGCAAGTTGGCTCGCCGTAGCAAGTTTGAAGTACGTGGGACATTAAGAAATGGAGATCTTCTCAACTCTAGCAATGTGATTTGCTGTTTAAGTTTCGACCGTGATGAGGAGTTTATTGCTACAGCTGGAGTATCAAAGAAAATCAAGATCTTTGATTTTGCTGCGCTTGTAGACAATTCTTTGGATATCCATTATCCTGTAGTTGAGATGCCAAACAAATCTAAGTTGAGCTGTGTTTGCTGGAACAACTACTTTAAGAACTATCTAGCATCAACAGATTATGATGGGGTTGTACAGGTGTGTTTCCTACAATCAAATACGTAAATTCAGACTACATGTAAATTGTGCATGCCTGTGCAAGGTTTAAGTTAGTGCTTTCATTTGAGGCTATTAATAAAGTCGGAAATCTGTTTCTTTACCAATTATAAATACCATCTTCATGTATGAGGTTCAGATGTGGGATGCATCTACTGGTCAAGGATTTTCTCAGTATGTAGAGCACCAAAGGAGGGCTTGGTCTGTCGACTTTTCTCAAGCTGACCCAAAAAAGTTTTCTAGTGGAAGTGATGACTTTTCTGTGAAACTGTGGAGCATCAATGAGGTATTGCTCTCGTACATGATTTAAAAATGGCATTAGCATGCAATATATTATCTTCTTGATCTCGACTTATCCTTGCGGGTACTATTTTTTGAACTTGAGCTATAGTTTGTAAGTTCAGGAGTTTACCTTTATGAAAATTTCCAAACTACAAAATTATGAGAAATGTTTTTGAATGGTATTTGTGCAGAAAAAATCAATAGGCACAATCTGGAGCCCTGCTAATGTCTGTTGCGTTCAGTTCTCTGCATACTCTTCCAATCTCTTGGTTTTTGGATCTGCCGATTACAAGATCTACGGCTATGATCTTCGCCATACTAGAATCCCTTGGTGCACTTTACCTGGTCATGGAAAAGCTGTTAGCTATGTAAAATTTGTAGATGCTGAAACCCTTGTTTCTGCATCCACGGACAACACTCTGAAGCTTTGGGATCTTAACCAAGCAATCTCAACTGGGTTGTCCTCCAATGCCTGCAGCTTAACTTTTAGTGGTCATACTAATCAGAAGGTTGGCTACTCTGCTCTTGATATAAGACTTTCTCAGAATTTATCATGTTTTAATGTTTTAATAGTTCTAACTCTTCATGTCCTGGTTGCTCAGAATTTTGTTGGTTTATCCGTTTTGGATGGATACATAGCATGCGGCTCAGAAACTAACGAGGTACAAATTTGTTATCCTTAGATTTCTCCCTCCGGTTATGATTATTATTTTTCAATAATGAGTTCGTTTTTGAAGCATCCTCTCGTCATACCTTTAACCATGTCATGTTGTATTAAAATGGGCATATGATGGTGAAGGGTCTGCTTAATGTATGGGTTTTCTTTTCAAAAGATTTGCTCCTTCAAGAGTAATCCCTGATAAATGAGACATCTTCCAACCCTTCCTCAAGTTTCTATGTTATTTTAAACCAATTTGTCATTACGGACTATATGGATTGAGATTTTAACTAACTATAATTTTTCCTCTCTCTCTCTCTCTCTCTCTCTCTCTCTCTCTCTCTCTCTCTCTCTCTTCTTTTCCCATTTCAGGTTTACAGTTATTACAGAAGTCTACCCATGCCAATCACTTCACACAAATTTGGATCAATTGATCCTGTTTCTGGAAGTGAGGTTGGTGATTATAGTGGGCAGTTTGTCTCGAGTGTCTGTTGGAGAAAAAAGTCCAACATCGTTGTTGCTGCCAACTCAACTGGAACTTTGAAATTATTGCAGATGGTGTGAGTATAAGCTTGTTCCCTAGATAATCCAAGGAATCTGTTCTTTCCCGAAAACATTTTTTATTAGCTTGCCTGTCCTGGATTTACTTTTTCTTCTTCTTGGAATGAAAAATATGAATTGAAGCAGAAACTAGTCAGGTTGAAGACTACATTGTAACAGAAATTTAACAGAGCCAGCCCTATGTGTCCTGGATGTTTATACGATTATGCGGATAAAAGAAATCGTTAAAGGCTGATTATGGCAAGTGAACTTCATGAAGAAATCAATTTGTGTTATCAAGAATTTCTCAAGGAATATAGATCTATACAAGAAAGTATACATCTAGGAACAGATACTAGTATAGGATTCTAAATGCTCGGAACTCTAAATTTGAAGAGAAATTTATGGCTTCACTGTGATGCTGATGGGATTTTTATACTAAGTTCCAAATTCGAACTTATGCAAGTATTGCTGAAGTTATTTATGCAGAAAAAAGAAAAAACATAAGATGAAAATTTTGATTCATTATTTGCACGGCTTGATCAAAGTTGTGCCACTTCTGAATGCTTTACACTTTCTGATCATCTCAGTATTAAACTAATAATGGAATTTTTTATCATGACTCATATACCCAATAAGAGGATATTATTCTCAGATATACAATCTCTTCTTTTGCCCGTGGTTGAGATGAATTGAGGTCGTCTTTTTCTTGCCTTTAAGTTGTTATATCTTGTCAGAGATCATCACTGTTGAAGTCTTGCCTGCGTTAAGCTCAACGGATTCCTTGAATAAATCGTTCCGCTGCAGAGGACAAACTTTAAAGGTATGGAAGGTTTTGCCACTTAATTATATATTGTATACAAATGTTAAGCTCTTTATGACTCAACCTTGTAAGTTTGTAGCTGACTCGTTGTAAAGTTACTCACTAAAGGATTGCTCTGAGTTTCTGCCCATGATATCTTGTTCTGATTCTGAAAAGAAATTCCAATGGTCTTGCAACTTTTGCCCCTCACTTTAGGGCCTTAAAACACCTTATACTTCATCTTTCTCCTGGTATAGATTCCTTCTGTACATTTGAGCTTTCGTTGACAAAGAATTCTGTCCTTCAAACATTTTAACTGTGGCTCCTAAACACAATCTACTATTGATACAGATGCATGTAGTCATCAGAGCAAGCTAAACTGTTCCTATCTTGAACTGTGCTTTCTCTTGATGTTTGATTGAGCAATCCACATGTTTCATGAAAGTGACTAGCTAAGTAATTTGTTGACACAATGTATGATGTATCAAGGTCTAGGAGAGCTCAGAATCTGAGGCATGTCCAGATGATGTTCTCCGTATTCTTGGACTCATCGCCATTAGCTGGCTTTCTGAACTCATTCTCAGACTAATACTACGGCCACAAGGGCTCATCTGTGGAGGTCTGACAGACCGTCCTCTTGGTGTTCCTGTGTAACCAAAGGCAGAAGACGTCAGTGCACTGGGGCATAAAAGAAATAATCCTGTTTTCTAATGTCTAAAAATCACATTACTCTCCTTTTCTAGTTGTGCGTAAAAGTAAAGGGGAAGTTTCATGCTATAATAATAGAGTTTGTTCATTGCCAATGCATATGATTCTCTGCTAGAAAATGTATAACAGGTGCAAGGATAGTGAAACAGGCAGAAGGTAGAATCATATTAATAACATTTGAAACCATATTACTTGGTGCAATCAATCACAACATGTGTATGCTATATTCAAAGTACTAATATATTTCTAGTCTTTCTCTATGTTTTAATGCTTTTTATGTAAGATCTAGTTTCTGCTGTTTTAGGCATTAACATGTTAGCGGTTCTAACTGAGATATATAATTGGTTCTCAGGAAATAATCAGGCATAAATGAGTTGTGTGATTAGGGAAACCTGGTAGTCTGTTGGCTTTCACATCTGAAGATTTCTTCAAGAATGGAAGTTTCTTGTTCATGCTATCAGGTGATGTTAAACACTTCCTCTCAGGCGCGGGCGGGAATGGTTCATCTGGAGTGGTCACCATTTCATCTCCACAGATTGAAGCTCCATCGCTTCCTGATTCTGAAGTATCTTTCAAAGTTGTTCTTTCTCTCTCCGCAATTCTATAAACAAACATCTGAAATGGGATTTGTGATACTGGTGGTTGCTCACAACTCTTCCAAGAAGGAATCTTTCTCAGAATCCCTGACTCAATCTCACAGTAATCTACCATAGGCACTGGTGGGTCTAGCTGGCTGTTATAATCAGGATTCATTGCAAGGAACCTTTTAATATATCGAAGAATCCGACAGATGGATGAGAAGCTTGGCCGTAGATTAGGGTCACTGTGCCAACATTTCTTTGTGAGGTTGGTCACATATCTCAGAGAATAGAATGGGAACAACGGCCTCTCTCCTGCCCTTATGTTTCGGCTCATCTTCTCCCCTTGAAGATGACTATCCTCAAAAGGCACTTTCCCTGTCAGAAGCTCAAAGCAAACCATGCCAAAGCTATACACATCAGACTTTTCTGTGTACTTTTTCTCACTACTTTTTGTCTGTTCGTGCTCTTCCAGAACTTCTGGAGCATACCAGATGAAAGGCAGGCTTCCATTCTGATTTGAAAGGTTTTTTTGGCTGGGGCTTTTCGCAGAAGTTAAACCAAAACCTGAAACCTTGGCTTGCAAGTACCCATCTGTGGAGATGCCTCTTGCCTTAACAAGTATGTTAGAAGGATTCAATTCTCCGTGGTAGATTTTCTTCGAGTGGAGATATTCCATTCCTCTTGCAATTTGAAGCATCAGATCAACTGCAACAGGAAGAGAAAATGGAAGTCGTTTTCGTGGGCCACAAATCTCTTTGATGTGGCTGCAGAGGTCTCTGCTCATCAGTTCCATAATGAGAAAACACTCTTTCTTTTCCTCATCCGTAAACCCGCAAAGGAAGTGCACTATGTTGGGGTGGGACAGAGATAACAATGAAGAAATCTCTGGCAGCAGGGGTTCAATATCCCCAAAGAAGTGTCTTGAGGCAAAGCTTTCACCCAGCCATAGGATCTCTTTATACTGACTTCCACCCCCTAGCCGTCGCCTCACCTGGTAGTCCTTGGACCCCACCAGGATTGAACTAGGTAAGAGCTTTCCATTCAAAGGCTGTGACTCTGACCCATCTAAGCTTTTGAAAAGAAGATCTATGAGGCGTTTCCCGTACTTTGTCGAACCCGAGAGTTTCTTTTCTCTGATTTTATGGAGAAGAGTCCATCTATCTTCTTTCCATGCTGTGTCAAACCTATTGCAGAAATCTTGAGTAATCAAATACTGCTTCCCAAATCTCCACTTGAAAAGTTTCCAATCTCTATAGTCATCTTTGTACTTATCCGCGAACACGGTTTTCTTCCTTTGTATCTCATCCTGACCCCACCCTGATATTTCTCCAGCAATGTCAATTGCTTCAATGACAATTGGCATGCTGGAAAGTAAGTTATGGATGTGAAACTCAACGCAATCGGAGTTCTGATAGAGAGTAATGGCTTTAGCCCACCAATCCTTTTTTTCCAAGCACTGCCTGATGTAGGCTTCTCCTTCTTTGAATATCCTGTGGAGCTCTCGCAACGGCTGCTCGAGAACCCTCCATTTAGTGTGCTTCTCTTCAAATCTCAGATTATATTTCATCTCCTCTGCTATTGATTCATATGCTGAGCTGAAGATATCAAGCAGCAAAGAACACTGCCGCTGATTGATATGGATGTTGTCTTGGAACACCATCAAGGCCTTTAAACTTCCCAAATCCTCTCCAATCTTTCGAAATTGCTCCATTTTAAGACCCGACCACAAAAATCTGAAAATGGAGATCAAAACTAAATTGAATCACTCTAACAATGAAGTTTCTGAAAGAAATTCATTACTGCAGAAAGATAAGGCCTAACCAGACAATGGTCGGTGGAGAATGGAAATGGCAACCACCAAACATGCAAATTGCCCTTTCTTGTAGAGCAAGAAAGACCAACAAATTTAGCGCCTTCAAGGAACAGAAGTGGAGATTAGGATCATGGAGACGAATTGGGTTTTTGCCAAATTCTCTCGAAACCCGATAATAAAACAGCAGAATCAAACATACCCATCTAAGTTTTCCCAGCCAAATTCAGTTAGCTTAGAGCACCAGGCAAGTTTTATAGCCTAATGAATTAAAAAAGGAAAAAAAGAAAGAAAGAAAAAAAGTGCTCCAGAGCGAAAACTAAAACCAGCAGAGCAGATGAGCATGCGATGTGATTTTCCTGGAAAAAGTTTTCTTGGCACTGTTTTTATTTATTTAATTATCTTTTTTGTTAGAAAGTGTTGGATTTGGGAATTTACATGTCTTGGGTGATGACACTAGTTTGTTTCTGTGCGGTTCTCCTTCCAAGTGTTCCCGCCAGTTTCGATGCCTCCCACTCTCAATTTAGAAAATGCGTTAACCGTTCTAACCGAATTTTAATACTCTTACCTGCCTTTTTGTTTTTGCTTTTACATTAGCGTCTTTCCATTAATTTATTAATAAAACAAATTTCACCATTACCTGCCATTTCACTTACACTAATTCAGTTACTAATTAAGTTACCATTGCTAGATTGTAATTATAGTTCCTTGTAATTATAGTGATCTAAATCCTATAAGTTGGATGAATTTGGCTCTTTTATTTATATTTTATGTATTGATATTGTGCTTATGACCAAAACCTTCTTGTTTGAAGCCTCTATTTAATTATCTTTCTAATATAAACCCTAAACAATAAATTTTTTATTATTTGATGAAGACCTTTTATATTGAGACGGGCGATAACATACTAAACTCACACACACTACACAGATACTAGGATTCGAACCCAGAAAATTACTCCAAACCGCTATACTAGTGGGTCCTTTGCCCCTAAACAATAAATTTTATATCCTAAAAATAGTGTCGTTTTGGGCATATGTTTCGGCTATTTTGCATTCAACCGTGCACTTGGTTACTTTGACTTACGAAATAGTGAACCCTAGCTGTCTTCTGTTTATATAACTGTGATAGTGAACAGCTAATTCATATGGTAATATGGCATTTGGGATTAAATATCATTCCTTATTGTAAATTGTGCTGCTGTATTGGTGTTGTCATTTTTAGGTGTTTTCCACATCAATGGCAACATTGCAGTTAAGTCTCCATCTCTCTGAAATTGGCCTCTTCTGCATATATGATGCCTTTCTCTATCTTACCTGTGGTCCACCTGTCATTCCAACTACCATCATTAACCAATTTCCTTAAAAACATTTGGGCAATGCATGAAAATGGAATTAAATTATGTGCCTTCCTAGAGTACTGGAAATTATGTGCCTTCCCAAGACCATACTGCGGTTTGAACCCAGGCCTCTGTAACCTACTTGCAAATCTGGCATTCAATTTACCATAAAATCAGATCCAGAGAGTCTTGTTGAAGTTTCTGAATGATCAAACAAACAGATCCATGATTTCATCTTTATTTAAAGTTAACAATGCTTTGTCAAGTTCACATTGAAAGGAAAATCAAGACCTGTTGAATATTTATGCATCTCAGATGATTTTGAAAGTTGAAAATGTGACTTAGTGCCCCATTTGTTGACCTCGAATGAGCTTCATACGCATTCATCTCAGGACCATACAGGAACTATGTGAATGAATGTGATATGTGACTCAGCATTTATGGTTTCTGTATGTTGAAGGAAAACTTGGTGGTAAATGTGGTTGGTGTTGACCTGTTGTTGTGAGGCCAATGGTAGTGTGGTGTTGACTTTAGTCATGTGGTGGTTAATGGTTGTGGTTACAAACTTAATCATGTGAAACTTATAGAGGTACTTAAGGGTTTTAAGAAGATTAATTATGAGTATACTTCTCTAGTAATATTGCAGAAGTGGTTTTGTTTGAGAGTTGATTGCATTGGGTGTACATAGTAATTGAACCCTAGACAACAAGAATCAATAGAATCCGACTTAATAATTTTAATTTGGACTTATCTGGTCACTGGTCATTGACCTCAAAAGCTTAAGCTATCGGAGAATGAGCCAATAATGTACATCAAACTACCCTAGAGAGGCATACCGAAACGGCAAAAGAGACAAACATATAAGGGTGCAGCACCGCTCTGTACTTTGCAAACCAACAAAGAAGCAGGTAAAGAAAATCAAGCTCATGATCCCTTGTAAAAAATATCTCTAATATCATGTCAAGACAACCATTAATCGAAAATTTCAAGCTATATCAGAAAACAAGGAGTATCGTGTCACTGGTATCTGCATCCGATTCCACCCACCGACAAGAATTATGTGAGTGTCATGGCACCATCCGTGGCCTATATTTCTTGCTTATGACACAAGTGTCTTTGTTTCTTGAATGGTTTTTATTTGTGGGTAATGTTGATAGTGGGATGTATAGCTATAGCTACTTATACATTGTACAGTTGCAGTTATGTATTGAATGCTATCAGTCTCAGATGACTCAGTTGATGGCCAGTTGCTTGCTAGCCATGTCTCAAACTCCACACAGAGAAATGTGTGGACATTGGACAATAACAAATAAACACATATTAATGCTTTGCATTGAATATGCATAGGCTGGTGGTAATGAGTCATTGCCATCAACTTCAATAAGACCTGATTTTAATCAATTGAGGTAAGCTCATCAATCTTTTTTGTTTTTTGTTTTTTGTTTTTTTTTTATACAAACGTTGAGTAGTATTAACAAGATTTTATAACGGGTCTACACACCCATAACA